TGCTGATGTTCCCTAACTCTGCTCATTTTCCTTTCAAAATGATATGAACTTTAATTCATCTTCCAGAATGTATGTTTTTTAGAAAAAGCATGTTAATACAAGGCACTCATGAGAATTACTTCCCAAGTCCCAAAATCTAACTCTCTGAGCCAGATTCAGTGTCAATGTTCACAACTTCCCAATGAAAAACTGCTTTCTGCAAATATTGCCTAACACTAAGATTTTATATTTTCTCTGAATGGTCTTGATACGGAAACTAATACGTATATGTAAGCAAGTCCAAAAGTGAAAATAGCATTACTGTAATACTTCATTCAAGCCAACAATCAGAAATATGGCATAAAACTGACGTTCTGGCCACTGACAGCTGTAAGACCTCAATTCACAGAGAATATCACCAAACAATAGAAGTTGCAGCTACTTGAGCCTCAGAGAATGTAATTTCATTTATTCATTTCAATGACATTTTTACTAGACTACAGCTTCACGTAGATTAGTCAGACACATCAAAAACCCACATATTAGCTGACGTGAAGCTGTGATGACTGCAGTTGTCTTAAGAGTGTCAATCCGAACTTAGATGAATATAATTTGCTAGCTCTAAATGACAGAGATATAATATAGATCTCGTATATCGCCAAAGTAATAAATAATTAGTGAGCAGAACTGAGTAAAACAGCAGGTTGAGCACACCCCCAAATTTTGAATCTTGATGCAGAAGTCAGTGATCAGAATGATCCATCTTTCTGCCTCGAATGATAAAACAGCTTTCTCACTACCTAACACATAGCACCATCTGGCATGAACAGAGGAAACTAAGAACTTCTGGAAGAGAAGCACAAAAGCAATTTAGTTTCTTCGGAATTGTCCAAGATATTAACAAAAATCCTTCAGAAACAGTCATCTGACTGCAGATGTGGCTCAGTGAACCTGCCTCCTGCAGACATGCTTGTATAGCTAATAATCTCAATAAAATGTTGAATTGAACTGAATTGTTTGGGTATCGGATGGGAGTTGTGAGAGTTAAGACAGTGTGTGTGGAAAGTCAATTGTCTACCAAACTGGCTGGGTTTCAGAACATTATCTCATGTCTCTTAACGGGAATTTTAGGGGCTCAGAATACATCTCCTCAGCAGAGCTCAGCAGGCTCTTTTCGGTAGTTATTTATAAGAAGTGTGACTAGAAACACCAGGTTAAGCTGTGCTTTGGGCGGTATCAGCACATGCATTACTGGCTGTTTGCTGGGGCTTAACGTCCTCCACATGCAGTGGGACAGGAGCGGTCTGATCACACCGTCAGCCCCGAGAGGGGATGTGGAGCTGTGCCACTACTTGGACACACTGTGCTGAGTGGTTAGTCTGAGATATTTGTAGTATAAACACAAATGGAGTCTGCAGTCTGGATGACATTAGACTGTTCCACTGATACTAGCAGAGATTTATTTTATCATTGCTTTTTGAAAGTGACTTTTAACGCAGACTGTTTTCTAAATGATCCTTAAAAGACACTCCTTTCTCCCTCATCACCTTCACCTAAGGCAATAACATCCAGCAGCATTGATCTATTTGCTGCTAGTTTTCATTAATTTTACCCTCCCTAAGGGTGGTGCAGCTTTGGTGCCAGCTAATTAAAACCTATTTAGGGCTGTTCGGTGCACTTTATCAGACCAGAATTAGCTCTGCTGCTTTAATGAAGACTACAGTTTTCTCTGTTATTACCAATTAAATGTTGTTATATCATTGTATTATATTTCTAATGCATGACAAAGATATAGATGGCTTTAGAACCACTTACCTGGATTGAGGCACATACAAAGATGCCACATTTAGTAATTACCTAATGTTTCTTTAAATCCTTTCACTTGACTCAATACATATAATATACCAAAACATTAGTGAAGTACTGGAAGAAGCTGCCAGCTTTATGCTCCCTCTAGGGAAGTACCAAGTAAAATGCATTAATGAAAAATTGTGAATGTCTGGTAATGAATACTATTTATGTACAACAATTATTCAAAGCGGATGAGCATTCACTGCCTTGAACTCAAATGCTTCACTAATGAAGACTCTCAGAAAGAACATATGTCCCCCATATTCATAACACCGCATGCAAGGTTAATTCTCCAGCATGGATAGCCCATGTCAGAGGGTATTTTGTACTGCTGTAGAATTAAAAAATGCCTCGTTGTGAAATACAGAAACTTGTTCGCTGGACATTATTTAGAGGCAATTCCTGTTTCTTCCATGAACCAATAATAAACCATTTGTCAATACCGAAGCTGTGGGTTTTGAACCTGCACTCAAGTGAAGTCAGGGATGAAGGTCCCAAGTCAGTGGTGCAGAACCAGAGCTTTTCCGCAGTAGAGAAGTGCCTGCAGCACATACCTGTTCTGTTAGCTGCTTCTCATAACACGCTTTAAAACTTGAGCACCACTAGGATGAAACTACTGAACAGTCCCACAATTACCTAAAAAGATGGTACGTCAAAGAGTAGAAATAGAAAGCTCATTAAAGGCTTGACAGACTAGAAATGTGTTGCAATCTTACTATGCATTAGTAGCATACACTGTACATAATGACAGTATTTTAGGATTAAACTAAAATAGATGTGGTTACAATCCACTCAGTACATTTTAAAATATAAGTCACTCAGTACATTTTAAAATATAAGTTGAACTTGGTTTCCTTCCAGAATTTTTGCTGGGAACATGCTGAAACAGACCTCTGTTCAATCTAATATTGCAGGCAAGAGTTGATGTTTCTCTGAGGAACTGAAGGAATATTTGGCTGAGGAACCTCAGTCTGTCTCAGCATCATAATAGTCTGGCACAATGCGTGCAACTATTTTCATCACCCACAAACCTCTCCTGCTCTCCCTTTACTGCCTCCACAAATGCCATATACCTCTAACAGCCTCATGACCCTCCCTAGAAACAGCAGACGGTCCCGTGAATTGAAGATGTTACAGAAAATGAAACAGTTTCCAAACTGAGGTCCCCTGATTAGTAGGGAACTGCAGGATGTTTTCTTGTGACACAGAAGGTGTTGGCTGGTGACACGTCCATCATTTCCCTTGTTTCTGGGTGACAAGTGCGCTAAATGATGTTAAAAACATCACTTAGTGTTTGATGTGGAAAAGTAGGACTAAAAATGAAAGTTGCAGTAGATACAAGGATGTTATCTGATTGCCACTGCGAGAAGCAGTGGTTTTTTTTCCACAGTGTTAAAGGGAGGCACGTGCAAATGCAATGTGATGTGGGTCACATTGCCTGTGAGGCAGGCTCTTTACAATTTGCCCCAGTTCGCAATGTGAAACTTTTAGTTGTTGTAACGGATTAAGGAGAAAGAAATTGGGCCACTTTGACATTAGGCTGCTTAAGAACTTTGTTCATAAGCACTGAGAGAACAGAAGTTCAATCTGCCTTTGACATGGAAAGAAGCATTTGTATTGTGTTAATTGCGTAATAATCATAGAATCATAGAATCATTAAGGTTGGAAAAGACCTCTAAGATCATCAAGTCCAACCGTCAACCCATAATAAAACCTTGAGATGTGGTAATTTGCTGAAAAGGAATGGATTAGACTGGAGATGAGGATACTTTGACATTGGAAGATGAGATTTTTTGATAGGCTATACTAAGGTCTGGTCTCACAATAAGGATTTTGATAAGGTATTGTAAAGTCACTGTGACCTGAATGACTATTAACATGGAAGAGTCATAAATATGAATAAATTTATGTTTAGCAATGCAATAATATACCCATGATCGTATTTAGCTCGATTAATATGTAAACCAGATGACTTGGATTATTAGAGGGCATTTTTGAAGAACGGATCTTATGTATTTTCTCTGTTAGCCTCTGTTCATCAGCTTGTTCAGTTAAACTAAAGAAGCCATGATAACCTTGACACCTTTACAACATACAGGAACTCCCTCTGACTCCAGAATTGCAACAGCAACATGTGCGCATGGTGAACAACCTGAGGGGAAAGTTCTTCCCTATGTTTCAATAGTTTTAAGAAAAAGGAAAAATCAACTCTAACCAAGTTTTGACAGTTTAATAACAAAGTGAATCAAGGAAGTTTAAGAGAACAAGCTCTTCTACTTCAAAAGCTAACTCAAAAGTTCAGATTAAGTTAAACTGTTTGTGAATATCTGCATTTTTAATTTGGTCAGAATAGCTACAGTCCTTCACAACTGCAAATTCATGATGTGCAAATTCAAAAATTAATACTAAGGCACAGCAGTGATCTGGAAACTCCTTCCTAGTTAGCTCCAGTGAGTATGCATGACAGGTGCTCTTCCATGCCAAAAACAGATGATCAGAATTTTTGCAGCTCAGTTAAAAAATCCTGTAATTTTTGGTCTTAATTCCACAAATCCAATTTCTGCTCTGAACGTGCTAGCCAAAACAGTGGCCCTCATACTTTCATCTCCTTACAGCCCCCACTTGAGCAGCATAAACACACATTCTCAGGCATGAAAAATAGAATTTAAGCATAATTCTGGGAAAAACCTAAATTTATTACAGTATCACCGATAATCCATTTTCACCAAGAAATAATGCATAATACTGAGGTTTGTGTTTGAAGAAAAGCTACAGTGAATCTCAACAGAGAAGAAAATACAATATCCAGAGTCATCCTGAGGTTGTGCATTTGGAAATGTTGTTTGTGTAGGATTATCCTCTTCAAATAAAATGTCAATTTAATCAATAGTAAATTGAGCTGAAAACAACACACAGCTTTGAAAATGTTTCAGGAAGACATCCAATATTTTTGGGACTCAAGCCAACAGAAATGGAAAGAACAGAAGGTAGCGTAGGTGGGGTAAATGGGGCCTAGCTGCTGCCTCATCAAGTGCTTATAACAGTCAAAACCATATAACAATCCATTAAAAACATATCTGGGGAGTCATTTAGTAGCTGGCATCCGGCGTGGACTTCTCTCATGTATCTTTTGTCAAACATTATAATTGTTCTTCACACTTAGGACTTACCGGTCTTTTCCTGTCTCCTTCTTAAATACTGCATCACAGTAACTCATGCGCTTTTCTGTTGTCACATAGATTTTGGCAGTTGGGTAGCTGTCAACAGTTTTCTTCAGCATGTTGTACACAATGCCATTTCCATCCTTCCTCATGTTTCGAAAAGGTCCCCAGATCACGTAAACAGTGTTGTTGGTTTCTTTGAAAAAGTACTCGGGATTCTTGAGAAGGAGAGGCACGCTTGTGTGAGAGACCACTCTTACGGTTGTCCTCTTCCCAACATCCTCCTCATAGCCCTTTGTGGGAGCATTGTTCATCCTCCATATGCAGGAGGACTTGTCTATCTCAGCTCCCACCTTCTGGCCAGCCATCTGTCCCGAGTTTGAAACAATGGCACAGAGGTCACAGTCAAGTTGTAGAGGCTGGAAGAAGGAAAACAAAAATATTGGCAATTCTTTCTCTGTAAAACATGAAGACTGAAAATTCAGTTAAAAGAAAGACGGGCACAGTCCAACAAATTGATAGCAATACTTCTCTTTAAAAAAAACTAACAATCCCCATGTGGTAGAGCTGGTAGAAAACCCTACCACGACAGAGCTCGGAATGCAATCCTTTTTAGTGAAACAGGTGGCAGCTCCAAACTTTTCCTTTGTTCTCCACCTTGCAAAGTCAACTAGAAAAATAATAATTCCTTTTTTCCCCTCTAAATG